CCACTGCTGTTGCCTCCTTACACTCCCGCTGCCACTGCCTCTGCCTCTGCCTCCATACACTCCCGCTGTCGCTGCTTCCTTACACTCCCACTGCCACTACCGCTGCCGCTGCCTCCTTACACCCGCTGCCGCTGTCGCTCCCGCTTCCTCTTTTCTCAGTCAGTACCCCCTTACACTATTCCTTCTTCTCATTCTGTATACTGTTAACAGTATACTGTTAATATTGTTAGGTTTATTTGAAATTATTAAATTTCAATACTGTTAATAGATTAATAATATATTATTCTTAATTTAATAGCATATTTTTATTTAAAATTTTAAATAATTATATTTATTAATTATATTATATATTTTTATATTTAGTACATCGTTTCGCTCGGGCGAGCGCCTAGCACCTCAGGCGTTTTTGGACCTTAGCGCCTTTTGGCGCATAGCGCTTTTTAAATCACTGCTCCCAATCAATAGCCGTCGAGCCTCCTTGGACCCCGACAACCCCCCCTCTCCTCCCTTTTGAATAATTAAGAGTCAATTTCAATATTCTCATTTTTATTTTAGTGATCATACTTCTCCTACATTTTAATATTCATGAGCGACTCGCCTTGCTCGGGGCGCCTAGTGCCTCAAGCGTGTTGACACCTTATCGCCTTTTAGTGCCTATTGCCGTTGACTATATTGGTATATACATGGCTATTGTTTGGTTAAATAACAGTTCTTTGTAGTTCTCCGTGGCTCATCAACATTGTCAATCCTCTTCAGGAAGAAGCCATACAATCCTTTTTTTTTAATGATAGCTTCCATCACAATTCGACTTTGAATGAGTTATGCTCATAAAGCTGACAATGTAATTTATTCTGTCAGCTAACACTTTCTTTAGTTGACTTTTCAAGTCTCTAGATTATAATAATTCTTGGTTTGAGTAACTTCATTATAAGGTTGTTAAGCACTCCATGTGGTAATGTAAGTAGGGTTTAATTTGTCATATGAGTCAGAGACCTTGGGTTTCTCTATTACAATCTTTTTATTTTCTTGAGTTTTGTTGAGTAATTTATGTTTTTTTTGTGAGTGACTAAAGTGTTCAAAATCTTAAGATATTATGACTTTAGGACCGATCATAGTATAGCAGAGAGTCTTATGATTTATGTTTTATTTTCTTTTAACTTTAGGACCTCTAATGCAATAGATAGAAGGGTTCTTATTTCATACTCATCACTATCAAGAAGGTTTTGAATACCTAATAACTTTGTTAATGACTAGGTTTGTGGTTTGTGTGTTTTGTTCTAGGGGTTTGACAGTTTTTTGTCAACAAAGTTCTTAGAACTCATTGTTTTAGTGACTTGTTTGCAGCAGATGTAACTTATCTTTGATCAGTTTATCGATCATGTTTGCTGATATTTCTTGTTATGTTTTAGTCTTGTTTTGCTATTTTTGCACATCTTTTGAGTTATATTAGGAAATTTGTTATTGGTTTGTTGTGACTGAAGATTTATATTTATAAGCATGCTAAATAACATTATCATAAGATACATTATTTGGAGATCAAGCTGAATTTCTGTGCTTAATTGGCTGTTTCTCTGCAGTTCTGGGATGAATGGATTCATTTACATTTCTGATAAGACCATTTTCTCACCGGAAATTTTTTCACCTATTGAGGGCATGACATTGATAACAAAGAATAAGACCATGTGAGGAAGCTTATCCTGGTATTTGAAAATTTGATTTCTGACAAAAATTACAGTGAGATTGACATTGAAAATCTCTCATACCCTCTCCATGTTGTTTGATTGCCCACCTATGACCTATACTGAAATTTTCATAATGTTTCTTTTGACTTGTTTACATGGTTTTATGGACTTCCAGATTTGTGTACTATAAAATCCCTCCCATCCAAACACACATCTCGAAGATACCATCTGGAGTCATCTTACCTAATAAGGTATGTAATCTCATTCTCTAAACTCTTCATTAGTGCTTTGTGGCCTTGGCTATAAGAATTTATTTACATGCAGTCAATCAGCAAAAAAGATGTTCAACCGGCACCAGTACTGTGGCATGAAAGATCGATGTTTAAGAGAAAAAACCTTGAGAGGTGAGTCCCGACCGTCGGTTGGTTTCATCTGACTTGTTCATTTCTTGTTTGGTGTAATAATCTGATTGGGTCATTCTGTTCACCATTCCTCTGCACTTGTGTTCTTGGACTGGGTATACAGGCCCCTTTCCCATGCAATAGCTGGGCATCGTCTGTCGCAGTTGGCTTGCAGCCTTGTGTCTAATCATTACCGTGAAAGGAAGCAAGCAGTTAATGTAAGAAAACTCGACAAGAATGCTATCAATGGTCAATGCAAGATGCAGAAGATGCTCGAGCAAAGGACCATCCATGAGAGCAACGGCAACGGTAATGTACTTGGGAAAAGGAAACACAGGGGTGGCAGTAGGAGGAAAAAGAAGGTTCAAGTCATGAGCCAAGAGAGTGGCCAAAACACTAGCAACTTGGGAAAAAGGAAACGTGGAGGCCACGGGCGACATAAGAGAAAGAGGAATTAAGCACTGTTTTCAGAGTTGCTGCATTCTTGTCCCGTTAATTAGTGGGAATCTGTCGCAAAGCCGATGCTGGCACAGATGTTGGTATCACAATGACAGAAATGGCGGTCAAATCTCTCACCTTCAGCTTTTAGAGTCTCCGATCCTTTCCATTTTTTTAATTTACAGATCAGATGTCACAGATCAAACCCTTGTTATTTGTTTTATTTAATTTATTTCGGGCAACAAAACTGCTGCTTCATTGTGTATTAATAGTTGGGTAATTAGAACTACAGTACGTGATAAGGAGAGTACGGAATGGCCTGACCTAATTGTCAACGTGCATTTTGGAACGTTTCTCCATGGGGTGAATGTGCGGCTTATTTTGTTTTCAAAATTTTATTTTATTGAATAATTGACATATCGTTTACAGGTGGATTCGAAATTCGGAATTAAGACATATTTTATGTTTGTCATCGAAAACCAAGTTTTCATGCTGAGTTAGTTAACCAAGGCTTCTGCTATTTCTCCTGTCACCAATAGAAATCATCCAAACATAAAATGTTCTCGGTCCCGACTTGTTTCACGACTAAGAACCTCACGACCACCTGTCTAGCATCAACAACTCAAACGGCTGCTCTCTTCCTAGAGCCTTTAGCATGGAGAAAGAGACGACGGCAAAGATCTCCTTCACTCTTTCCTCATCCTCGTCTCGCCCCAATCCCTCCGCGGCCCAAATCCCGTCTCAATCCTTCCCTTACCGAGGAGCCGTCACCGCCTCCACCCAAGGAGACCCCGGAGACGAGGGCGAGGATGGCGTCGCCAAGCCCCAGTTCATCTCCGTCTTCGACGCATCCCAAACCCTAGCCGTCTCCCACGACGCCAGGTCCGTCATCATCCCTCCCGTCCCGGACGCCAAGACGAAGTGCCCCCTCCCTGTTCCCGCCCCCGATGACGATTACATGCGCTGGAAGTTCAGAGACGACATGAAGGATCTTCCCCAAGATCGTGGGTTGGATGAGTTTAAGGACATCAGGGTTGAGGACTTCCCGTTCGCCTATCTCGCTGGATATGGGTGGTCGGAGGGCCAGGTGATCGGGCGGAACAAGATGCTGGCAGATCCCAAGGTCGTTGAACACAAGAGGAGATATGGAACTGAAGGGCTCGGGTATCACAAGAGAAAGAAAGAAACTCGGACCCTGCAACAAGAAGAACAGATCGGTGGTCTGTGCTTGTCGAACGAGGGTCAGTCTCGAGCAGCTTTCGAGGGCAATAGGTACGAGTGCCGCAATCACTGGTCTCGTGAATACTCTTCTTGCGTACAAGTGTATTATTCGTTCTTTCAGTAGCTATTTTGGATCGTTCTTCTTATAGATAACAGTAGCTTCTCTTGTTATTTGATCCTGTATCTTGAATTCATCTCTCTTGTGGCTGTTCTAACAATATCTAGTAAAATAATCATATAATGAAAGAGATTATTTGTAACAAAAAAAAAAGTGACTTGTAATTTACATTCCATAGTTCTATTGAATTCCTAGGTTTGGAATGAGAAGAGTTTTGGGAATTGAAATCCCTTGGAAATTGGTTCCAAACAAGTAGCAAAAGTACAGTTTTTAGGTAAATATCATGAATATACACAACTAAAGTTATTTATCATTTTCTCCAAGGAAACAAATTTAGTTCATTGCTGCTGTAGGTTTTTAGCTCAATTGAGGAAGACTAGTCAGATATAGCTTGACCTAGTGGTGATAAATCAGGAAGCAGACAAATAGTAGTGAACTGGACACAAATGGGCTTGGGTTTTCAGTTTGGATCAGGTTTTCATATCAAGATCTTGGATGCTTAATCTGTTTGGATAAGACGTTTTGTCAGATTATCGATGAAACCATCATAGATTTTGAGTTTTATTTTCGTAATCGAATTCAGACTAACTTCAGGAACAATCTTTCTTTTTTCTTGGCTTGCTAGATGATGATATAGTTTTTGATTAATTCTATGAACTTATCCATGTTGGTGCACCCCATGATACTCGTCAATGACTGCTACATGAGGTTCGCAAATTAATTTGCTTGAGAAATCAAGACTCACTGGTGTACCTGCTTTCATGGAAGCACTTGCACCATTCTCTATTTCGAGCCTATCAATCAGGTACATATAGAAGGTGCTAACAAGTTGGACTAGTTAAGTCTTTGTAAAATCATCGCAAGATCTTTGGATCAAAACCTGCCTTCACCATTTATACTTGTAAAAATAAAAGAAAAAGAAAAATCATGTGCATATACATGTTCCTTTTCTCTGTCCTTGATATCAGTACCTCTTCTTGACTGTGAGCCCTTGTTTGGGCCTTATAAAATGACCACTCATGCTATCCCTCTCTTTCAGTATCATGGCTGAAATTGATCCAGAGGAATCAGTATTGGGACTAAAGTTAATTCTATCGTTGCTATCTCTGATGATAAGTTAAACTCTGTTTTGTATATAGAGAGACCTATTATGATAACTACTGTGATGCCAATAAGTATAACTTGTGGACATGTAAACGGTGCTATAATTTCTAGAGTTCATCTGAGTATTTGTTGTTTTTAACTGCAAACATAGGGCAGTAGGTTTTATGAATGCATTTTGCTGAATATGAAAGTCTTATTCAATCGCTTAGGTGTGTGTTGTTGTGAAGTAGTCAGTTCTTTGTACATATTCTCTACTGAAGGTTTTTAGTTTTTTATGTTCTTAGGGTAATATTTTAAGGATTTTGCAGGTAAGGAGTTCACATTGCTGAGTTTAGATGTTGAGGTAGAGCAGTCCAACATTATCTGCACCAAAACACAGCATGCTGGGGATTCACTGGAGTTTAGGCATAAGCAAATGTTTTCAGTACTCCTTACTAGGTTTGAAATTCTACATGTTGAGCTAGTGTATACAATGTGGCTTACTGTGTTTAGATGTAGTAGAAGATTCTCTCCTTTTTTTTAAAGCACAAAGCACACAGGTAATTAATTCACTATGGTTTATGCATTGACGTCTATTTTCATTGTTTCCTCTACCTGGTCAGCACAGTTGTTTACAGAATGCATCACAATGAGTATTCAATATTCACATCAGAAGGGTATCATCAGTCGATATATCTTATTTTTGGGTAAATTTGTTGCTTCTATTGCATAAATTGTTTGGGTAATGCTTTCATATGATTTGACCAACTGCCATTTCCTTAACTGGTAACATGTGAACGTAGTACAGTGTTCCGCTGACTGATTCAAATCTTTTGGATGAACCTGGTCTGCTATTTTGTCTGTTATCAGTAATTTATCTGCAAGCTGTAGTAAGTAAAATACCTCTTGTAAATTGTGGTGTTGCGTAGTAATATGAAGTTAAGAGGCTTTATTAAAACTTTTTTTTTTTGCATAGCGAAGACAAGATTCGAGCTCAGGGCCTTGTGATAAACTATTGAAACACCTTCCATGTATTAATTGAGATTTTGAATTCTCAACTTTTGTACTTGATATTGTATGTGGCGAGAGGTATAATCTTGATACTCTATAGTGGTGTGATTATTAGATGCATATTATTCCATAAACGCTCGTTTATTGCTTCTCACCAAAGCTCTGTGATCTTTTTTATGATTACTCCAGAAGAAAAATAACTTATATGATTGCAGCAGAAAAAAAAAGAGTATTTCTGAATTCTAGCCTAATTAATACCCTAAATTGTGCTAAGTAAGATTTATTTTGTTATATGATAGATTTTGTGTTGCCTAGATGTTCTCTGACTAAGATCATGCTTAGTTCGGATAAGATTGGGATTTTGTTTGGTCACTTGGATAAGCATAGCCCAAAATCAAGTCGTTAACAATGAGGTGCGGAGGATCTCATCCTTCGTCGTCAGTGAAAGGGACGCGTAAAGAATAGCGTCGACTCGAAATCTTTCATGCGGGCCTATGCGTTTCCATCAACCCGGTAGTGGAAGAAACGAGTCCGGCTCTCTTAGCCACTCAACAATCGGCAACCCGGTAATGGAAGCACGCCAAGATAAAGAAGACTTTATCTGCCCTCGGCCTCCTCCACATACATGGCTTGGAATACGAATCGCGGAAGGTGTTTGAGTTCATCGAGTCTCCGTCCTCGGTGTATTAATCTCCCGGATTGACTCTGCGAGCCCACACTGCTGCATCCGCGTCCGGCTCTTGTTTGGTCTTTTTACGCTGCCGACCATCCACGGATAAGATTTCCGCGGCGAGTGCAATCAAGGCGGCCACCTCCTTCGTCTTCTATAAAAAAGGGAGACTGACTTCCTTATCTTTATCTCCTCTGAGCTATCGAAGTCGTTGTGATGGTATCCCCCCACTCCCTATCCTCCTCCCAATTCCTCGGTCTCCGCGTCGCTCTCCCTCCCCGTCCCAACGCCGGCGCCGCTGTGTCCCCGCAATCACTCACCGTCGCTGCCGCCCTCAGCTCCTCCGCCGCCTCCTCCCTTTACGAGGTCCTCGGCGTCCCTGCCAGCGCCAGCGGCCAGGAGATCAAGGCAGCGTACCGCCGGCTGGCGCTGGAGTGCCACCCGGACGTCGGGGCGTCCGCGGACCAGTTCCTGCGCGTCCATGCCGCCTACTCTACCCTCTCCGACCCCGACAAGCGCGCCGACTACGACCGTCGGCTGGTGGACTCGGCAGCTTCAGCTGCGGCAGCGGCGCTCGACCGCCGCCGCCGGTCGACGTACTCGCGGTCCACGTCGTTCTCCTGTGGCGGCCGTCGTACTTGGGAGACCGACCAGTGCTGGTAACCTGAGTCTGATTGTTAATTGACACGGCCACATAGTCTGGTCTCTGCTTTCTTCGTACCAAAGCTTGTAAGATAGAAAAGGGCCTGATGTAAATACTATCGATCAATGAATAGATAGAAAGAGGAAACGAATAAGAAACATAAATGTTGTCTGCTTTAAATCTGGTGTTTGGATTTGATTGTTTTTTTGTTATTTGGATTTGATTGTTGTGATAATAAAGAATAATTGATAAACATCCGGAGATAGACATTTTAAAGAGTGATTTTTCTGGAGTTTTTTTGACTTTTTATGAGAGGGTATCTCAACTTTTAATTTTTTTTTTATTTTTTATAATATCCTACTATCTCCGTCTTTAGTTGTTTTTTATCGTCTTCGGGCTTTCGATTACCATAAAAACAAGGATAAAGAAAAATAAGAAGAGTTCGAGAGATAACATCATCTTGTTAAACAAATGATAAGATATCACAAGAAGGAGGTGGTCATGATAAAACATAGACGATACTTGAAGGAGGAGGTGATGACAATAAGGGGTAAATGAGAAATTGGAAAACCAGAAGTAATCCAACAAGTATTTTCCACCAAAAACTCAAAAAGAAAATAATTTCAGAAAAATCATCCTATTATAAATATGAAAATTGGAACAGTAGTAATCCAACTAGTATATTGTAAACAGCTAAACATTCAAATTAATTACTCATCAAATGAATCGCCTTTTCCATGTCTCGAAGAGATAATGCTTCGTCAAAAAGAGTGAGATAATGCTCTGCACCAGCCAACTTGGCGAGCTAATCATACATGATTTGGGTTTGAATAAACCATTGGAACACAAAATGAATTGCTAGACCAAATTTCTTATTACTACTGTCGCAGAGTGAATTCTTTAAAGCTAGTTGGATTTGCCTTTTTAATTTCTTTCATATCACAGTCAGAATAATCCAACTAATTCTAATGTTTTCTTTGTTCTACATTTTCCTGAGAGGCTGTTCAGCTTCCAGGTTCTGTTTATGGTTAGGCAGGCAGAATTGTTCAAGGAATAACTTCAAATTTACAGAAGAAACAACAAAATTAATAGAAAGAAAGAGGAGGCAGTCGATGTCCATCTGTGTGGAGTGGATTCCAATGCCTTCAATACAACGAAAATGGATTAGCTCATGAGAGAGGAGAGAGGAGTGTTGTGCAGTCTAAAATATTGCGTCGTTTGTTTGAGATCCAATTTATTCTTTCGACCATAATTCATTGTTCTGATGCTCATGATTTGTATCGATCGACGCAGAAAGTTTGCTTTGCACTGAATGCATCATGTACAAAACAAATAGATATGGCTTTCCAATCCTCGAGTGGGCTTCATGAAACAGAGGAGATCAAATCTCTTCCTGCCAAATTCCTAAAAGAGAGAAATCATAAGCCCCAGTTTTATTCAGACCCTTCTCTTTGTGTTTATATTTACGCACGAATCTATCACATATGTCCTTGTAAATTAAGTTTCTCTAACTTGAATCGAGATGGCATGTGTCATGATTTTGTCTGTCCCTTAATTGTCCCATTTTTCTTCCAGGAAATTAAGTTTACAAAAATGATTTCTCCAGACAAGATCATAAACTATTGGTTGAAATTTAGTCCTCTGCTCATTCGAGTTCTATAAAGATTTCTAAGTCAATATGATGTTGAAGAAGACAAAATCTCTCATGTTGACATGGCTTGACGAAAGTTTCTCTGTGACATCAAAATCCATTCTTGGATTGACCTCTTCTTATTTAATGATGATCCACTCACTAATTTTCCCACTAAAAAGATGATGAAAATAGTTTTGTCACTTTGGACTCCGGTCCAAGCTATTTCCCATACTAGTTAATATCAGAGGGCACATAAAGAAGCTCGAGGTGTAAGAAACATCTTCACGACATACATAGAGAGAGCATCATACAGAACGAGATCTTTTCTTAACCAATGTCTAATCTTTGTTAATGGCAGACACTGAGCTCCTTTTTTTACGTTGCATTCCTCGAGAAAACCCAAAGTTTTGTAAACCATGTATAGGAAGCCATCACGAAGCACCAGATGAAGATGATCCTCTTGCTCACAGGAACAAGCATGCTTCTTTAGCTCCTGTCCGCGTTCCCAATGCCTCGAAGCCACTGGGAGAGAGTTAAAAGTAGCAGAACGAGCAGAAAGGAGGAAGAGTTCAGTATCAGCAACCAACAAGGAAAAGACAGCCCAAGTAGCAAAAAAGGAAGACTGGAGTCAAGTCGCAGCTCCAGAAGAGAGGCCACAGACCTTTCTCTCCTCTCTCTGCGCTTTTGGCTTCCTGGGGAAGCGACAAGCTTTCAACCTGACATGTCCCATCTGTATGCAATGGAACTGATTCCACTGCCTTCCCTCTCCTCCTTGACCGGTTGACCACCCTCCCCACCCCCACCTTGTTTCTTCTCTTATCCTTATCCTCTCGTTTTTGCGCATCTCGATGCTCTGATTCCCTCCGTGGAAAATTTCTGGTCGTCCGATCTCGGGGTCTTCCCCAGGTAACCTCGTTCTCGTGCGAAGTGATTCCCGTGGGCCCGCCGGTCGCTGTGTTTTATACTGCGAGTACCGTAAACGGGCGGGATCGCGCCATTTGGTTAGTTCTGTGTTAGGGTTTGCGCGGGAGGAGAGATGGAAGGAGTGGGAGGAAAGAGGATGAAGGGGAAGGTCAAGTGGTTCAACGGGGCGAAGGGGTTCGGCTTCATCACGCCGGACAGTGGCGGCGAGGACCTCTTCGTCCACCAGTCCTCCATCAAGGCCGACGGTTTCCGCACCCTCGCCGACGGCGAGGACGTCGAGTTCTCGGTTGCCGAGGGCGACGACGGCCGCACCAAGGCCGTCGATGTCACGGCACCCGACGGCGGAGCCGTCCAGGGAAACGGCGGCCGCAGCGGGAGGGGCGGCCGCGGCGGGTATGGGTTTAACGATCGAGGCGGGCAAGGCGGAGGCGGGCGCGCGTGTTACGTATGCGGGGAGGCGGGGCACATGGCGAGGGACTGCTACCAGGGCGGGAGCGGCGGCGGAGGTGGTGGTCGTGCGTGTTATAACTGCGGTGGGACGGGCCACATGGCGAGGGATTGCCAGCAGGGCGGCGGAGGGGCGTGCTACAACTGTGGGGAGATGGGGCACTTCGCCAAGGAGTGCCCTTCGACCAAGTGACGGTGAATGATTCCTCTTCAGCCCTTCTCCCGTTTCCATTTCTCTACAGTGTGGTGGTGTCTTGGGATGTCACCGCCGGTGGATTGCTTTCCTTTGTCTTTTGCTTCTTCAGTGTAGTATGATGGTGTGTGGTGTTTTCAGTATGCTTTGATGGTGTTTGGTTTTTAGGGATGATGTGATGGTAGGGGAGAAGGGCAGATATATATTTTGAATGGGGGGATCGACACGTTCTCGTTGCATATTACAATGTTTTTTTTGGGTGTTAGCTCTTGCCGTGCCTCTTTCTCTTTAACGAAAGAGCTTTCTTTGTCTCTTTTAAGAGTAGCTTTGTCTTGGTTGGTTATATTGGGGATTGCTTTCCGGGTCATACTTGGGTGGTTCCTATTTCTTGTAGTACTGTGTTGAAATTGATTTAGTACCTCCATGTTTCACACTATTGCGTGGTAAAGATATTAGAATATTTCATAAAATTTAGAAAGATCTCTAGTCATCAACCGATAGATAGAGAATGGAAAATTATTATATATGGCCCTTTTGGAATATGAGTTATTAGTGTTAAAAAAATTATTTATCCCTCGTTTCTATTAGTAAGACGATTTCTAAATTTTAAAAATTTATATTGAGATCTTTATAATTTTAAAAATCAAATAAATAATTTTATTTATCTTAATATTGATGAAAAATATAATATGTGACGTAATTTTATTTTATTTATATCGACATTGTGTTGCCTATCATTTTTGCCTATAGACATTGTGTATTTTTTGTAACGATGATATTAAAATAAATAAGAATGTTTATTTTATTTTTAAAATTATAAAAATATTAATATAAATTTTTTAAATATAAAAATCATGATATAAGTATCTTAATTGATTTAGACAAAGATTAAATAGTAATAGTAATTGTTTCTTGATTTAGACACAGATTAAATGCATATAATATATAATGCTCGGTGAATAATGATTTAAACAATGATCTACACAAAGAGCTAGTATATATATATATATACATATTTTTTACAAAATGATCATTTTCTCCATACATGACAAAAGGATTGTTATTACTATTTTATTACTAGGATAAGTATTCTTGGAATCAGCAATCTTCGAAAACCTGTTGAAGAAAATTGATAGTGGATGTAAAGTATTTCTGGGTGAAGAAAATAAGGAACTTACACAATTGTTCTCGTAAGTTTGGTTGTGTTAAAAATAATCTTTACTTCTTAGTTAATATGACATGGTGTCGTACCATATTATAATATGTCAACAACTACGTGTTTGCAATAAAAAAAGGATGAATCATGTCAACAATTATGAATATATCATATTTACTAAAGTAAGTCTAATTTGATAAAAAATAGACAAAATTAATAAACAATTAAAAATATCAGATCGGTAGTGCTGTCCAAACTTAATCTGAGCGAGCGAGTCAAAACTGATTTAGGAAATAAGTTTGAGCTAACATACTCATAAATTAAGCTCAGACTGTGGTACACACTGTAATGGGTAGATGCATACGGTGTTGGTAAGAGTGACTATGAAAAGAAGGCACCATTTGGAAATTGGCATCTCCATTGTTTTTGTATTTTCGCAATGCAATCAATCCATCTCCCACATTAGCTTTCTTATACGAAATTATAATAGCAAAAGTTATTATGAGTGGGGTTTTCTCCATTTTCTTTTGATTTGCTCATCTTTAAATTAGTACGACGACTGGCCACTAAATACAAATATATTTTCTTAAATAATTGCATCTGTTTATTCGAAGTATTAGGGTACAAAATATTTTGTAAAATGGTATAATTAGGAGGGTCACCACTCCAATTACATAAAAAATATATATATGCTTTACACCGTAATGCAATAACGATAGAACCGCAATTACGAACATGACAAATTGTTCTAAAGGATCCATAGCAAATTAGCAATTAGAGCATGTAGTTTTCCTCAAACTTCCTTATCCAAATCATGCCCCTCCATT